TATGTGGCTTATTTCAATTTCACATCAAACCACTCTGAATGACTTTGTTTACATTTCAGAGGTTGAATCCTTCAGAAATTTTGAAAAAAATAGTGCAATTTCACTTTAAGATGGCTCTCTGTGCTTTAGGCTTTAATAGTAGTCTTTAAGGTGAATGGGTTTGATTTTAAGATAGACAGATGGTTTTCCTATAGGGTGCTTTGCAATTGATTCAATAACGACATGGACGGGTTGCTGTGATATGCTCAGCTTTTAGATAATGCTATCAGATTACCATATTGCATAGCAGCATGCATTATTCATCTTGTGTCTGCCTCCCCAATTAGTCGAAGTGGAACCTTTCTCCAGAGAAGGTTTAACATCTGTGCGACCCGGAAATCTTTGAGGAGATTTGGGCTAATCAGCCCAGAGACATTCTGAGGCCCTTGGAATTAGCGGGATCTCAGGAGCATGGTTTCTGTGAGTGTGTGTGTTTGTTTGCTTCTGTGTGTGTGTGTGTGTGTGTGTGTGTGCGTGCCCTGGTCCATCCAGAGTGCAATTGTCCTCTGGGGAAAAGTTGCTGTATTGAAGAGGAGGATCAGAGGGAGATGGTGCCCTGACAAAACGCCACCGCCATGTCTCACAGCAGGTGGTGCCCTGTCTCAGAGACACACACACACAGACACACATACACCTTCTGACACAATCACAGCGCTCTTTCGGGTACTGACTTTCTCAAAATGTTTTGTAGTTTTTCTCAAAGTGTTTTCCTGTTGTCAGTATGCTTTTACATATTCTACATGATGTGTCGCAACCCAAGTCTGTCTCTGTATGTCTGCTTTTGCCGAAAGCCACGCCGGCTTTTGTGTGGTTTGTTGTTGCGATGGGGGTTGAGTGGGTGCACTCGTCTTCTCCGCCTTTTATTCCTGCCTCTCGGGAGACGTGTAGCGATTCAGTCCCGAGACACGGCAGCGTAACCTCAGGTGCCTGCCTTGCCCTGACAAGTGATTTGCTTCACCCACTGACTCACTGTCTGTCTGTCCGCCTTTCTGACTGCCTTGCAGTCCTCATGTCTGTCTCTCTGCTTGGTTATTTGAAGCTTTGTTTTAGTGTCAGACTGTTTGACTGACAGTTTGGCTCTTCGACTCTTTTGGGAGCAGTTCACTGAGTTCAGTCCAGCAGCATCAACTGATTCTCTTCGTCTCACCTTCTTTACTCCTACTTTTTATCCAGCTCAGACACAACAACCTTCCCTAAGGACTCCATGCTCTCTCGTACCTCATTTTTTCCTTTTCTGCTGTATTCTTCTCCTTTTGTCTTTGCTCCTCCCTCCCTTCACCTGCTTCCTTTTGTTTTTTTTTCAATTTTGGGTTTATTAGAAAGTACTCTCAGGGTTTATTTGTAAACTCCCTATTAAAACCAGTAGGGAAGCGATGCCTGTAAGGAGGGTGTACCTCCAGAGGAGAAAGGTAATGCATTATTCTTTGTGTGAGCATGGCACTGCCACAGGATAGACTGTCAGGGGATGACAGGTCTTTGTTACCAGTTTTCTTTCCTCTGCTGTTCAACCATGCACTCTCCCTCTACCTCTCTGCCTTGTTTCCTTTCTGCCTTTTTTTCCCAGATTCTTTGGATTTTCTTGGAAAGGGAGGAGGGGAACTCTGCTTTTGCCAAACCTGCAGCTTGTGTGGAGCATGTAGGCACATCTCTCCATGTAGTCTTTTTTGCAGGATAAATAAAGAGAACTTCAGATATGTGCATCCTCACCCAAAACCCGAGGATTCACTCAAACTCCTGCTAGGATAAAGAACTGCTCTGATACCTCTTTTAGGTACATTTAGGTCCTCAGTGCGGAACCACCTGCCTGCTAAGATCAGATAACCCACAGGCTGCTTCCTAAATTTGGTGCCTATGTTTTTTTTATTGAACACTATTTTTTGTAAATCATAAAATAACAGAACAGGACACTTGAAAATTTCTAAATAGTAGCCTTTTCTCTTTAATTGGAAATAACGACTCAATCAGCTTCTACACAACAACAGCTACAGTTTCAGCAAGTGATGCCTTTTTAAACCTGCCTTAAAGAGACAGGAAGCATTGTGTTCAAAAACAGTAAATATAAGCTTTTTTTGTTAGACGAGTGACTAGGAATCATTAGTATTGATTTGTCAGTTGTTGGTGACGTATCTCACTCTTTTGTGTGCTTAGCAGAAAGGTTGGCATTTTTTTTCAGCTGAAACGTGTTAGTCTTATAGAAGCAGCTCCTTATGGTGATGTGGTAATGCATTTGATTGACAACTAGGTAAATGCGAACGGTTAAGACCATGGCAGTTGATAAACTTTTTGAAACTGGCATGTTTAATAGAAAATAGAAATATTTAAGAAATTAAAAACATTTTTCTAACAAAACACACAAATAAACACACAAATTGGAGGAATCTAGAATGCAATGCAATACAATTCAATTCACTGTCTTTGAAAACTGAGTTTTAAGCTTTAAAAAAAGTGATTTAAAACGTGCTAGAAGACTGTTTTTTAGTTGCGATGTCAGACAACAGTGTGAAGAAGTGCGCTTGAGAGAGTTTGAAAGGGCAATGTCTGAAAGCCCCCTCATCTGTAGTGGTGTGTCTCTTGCAAACAATCAAGTCTGCCCTTTCCTGAGTGTCTGATTTAATTTGGAAAATGGCAAAACCTGAATTATGCATACGAAACATAAATAGCGATGGTGCATAAGATCACCATTTGGAACCACAAAAAGCTGTAAACTTCTTAAAACTTTTGCTCAAAAAAGACCAACATTCTCAACTGTTACAGTGAAATTAAGATTGATGTAGTATAAGATTGATTTTACACTGTCAGAAAAAAAAAAGGTCTTACATGCGCCTTACAAGTTTGACCAAAACCCAAGCTGCAGGAAGTTATTTATTTTGCTTGAATAGGGTTATGGAATGTGCCAATTGCACAAGGGAACGGGGCAGTCTACGAGTTGGAGTGTGTTTTCACGGTCAGCGGATGCAGAGCAGGCTGAGTTTTTAGCACTCAGTGATCAGTGAGAGGCAGAGAGAGAACCACTGGGGGTCACACACACATGAATTATGACAACAGGCCTGTACACAGCTTGGGACAGTGTCCAGATAGAGTTCAGAGAAGGTTCACCAAATGCAGCCGCAATGTAGCTCCAAATGAAGCTCCTCTTTGGAGACGTGTAGGCGTTAATTGGCCAAAAAAATATAAACGTGATGTCATTGTAATATTCATTGTAAATGGTTTGTGAAAAGGCCATAGCTGTTGTATGGCTCTAGATTATCTTTTATATCCATCCACATCCCGTATCTTGATGCTTCGCAGAATGTAGCCAGTCATCTGTGACAGTGCAGGTCTTTATCTAGTCTGATGTAGAAGCTGTTGTGACTAAAGAGCAGTGATTGCATTGTTGTATGCTTTTGTGTACTGAATAGGCCTAATGGTTTATCTTGCACACATGCCTTATTATACAGTGCATAGTGTGACAGTGTAAGTGACATAACATTTGCAGCTCGGGCTGCTGGGTTACTGGTACTGGTGTGTATTATGAATAACAATGTATCACCACTCCTTTGTTAAGGTTCACACTGAGCGAGTGAGCTGCTTGCCACTGTGTTAACAATAGTGTCTGTGATTAGGGCTGAAATAATGTTACCATGATCATTAAATTGTTGAATTAAAGCCCCTCTGTTCTGAACTCATTTATGCATTGGTATATTGAAGAGCCCAGTGGTACATCTTGAGTTTATTGTACAAATCCCACCCACAGTAACAGCAGTGAAGGGTGTTTTTCTATTATTTCTTTTGTTGCTACTGAGACATGTACAATCAAACCGTAGCTAGAGCCTAAATTGAGCATGTACTCTCCAATTAATCAAATTTACAGAACGACAATTCAGTGGAATGCTGATCTTAACAGGACTGTAAGATGTTAAAGTTTTGCTCATATATGTAAGTGTGGTGTTATACTTTGCTGCTCTGAAATGTGACGGCCTTAGGCTGCAACATTAAAGATGTGACTGAGAAGGCAGAGATAATGTGGCTTTTATTGCTAAACAGATTAATCTGTTGTGACACCCAGAAATACATAAAATGTATTTTTCTGACAAACCAATGTTGCCACATTATGCGCTGAAAAGGGAAAAACTCCCGTAGAAGTCTCCATCAGCATCCAGTGTTGTGCTGGTTAGCTGTAGTTTTTGCTCAACAGCTCATCTGAGTCTCCATTATGCTACTCATCCAGCACAAAAACCTACCAATTTCTCTTGGCTGTTTTTGAATAATAAAACGTGTTTTGAAATGTATAACTCTGTGATGCTACTTTTTTGGGCAACACCTGTGCTGCCACAGCGCATAATGCACTAGTACTACTACGTTTGATGACTGCCTTTAAAAACTCTGGGCACAGTGATTTTATTGAATGTTTCATATACTGTACTGCACTTAATTCAATTAAATAGGACTAAAAATGCTCTCTTTGTAATAAAGCAAGCAGTTGATCAGTGTTCTCTACAGACAGTAACACAGTACTGATAAAATATAGTCAGGTTGCCCATCTCTTGCTGCATCTTTGCCATGAAGGAGCTAACCTAGACACGTATACTGTATATCTGCATGCCTTGGTTGGCTAATCTATTACTGTAGGCTGGTGGGTTGGTAGACAGAGCCGGAACTGAGCTACAGCAATTCTTAAAGCACTCAGTGAGTCTCGGCTGATGCTGGCTTATCATGCGTGCTCTGCTTCACCAAGCCAGGTGATGGCCAGCATAATCACTGGGTGAGATCTGGCAGTGCTTAATCACCCATACAGGAAAGAGGAAATGAGAAGACTGTCAGTTGCCTCCAGGAAATTAAATCTGCTCCACATACTAAAAGAGAGTGTAGCAAGCTCACTTTACTTTTTACTAACAAATGCAGTTGAATGAATGCACAAAGTCAAGAGCAGTAGTGCCACAAAGACCCTACTGATGTACTCTCTTTCTCTCTCCTTTACCTAGTTCCTGTGTCTAAAGAACATCCGCACGTTCCTCAAGGTGTGCCATGACAAATTTGGACTGAGAAACAGCGAGCTCTTTGATCCCTTCGACCTGTTTGATGTCAGGGACTTCGGGAAGGTGAGTTATGTGACTTGTGTTGATCGGCAGCATTCTTTTGGGGCAAATGAGGTGCCTCTACAGTAATAACACTCACATCCTCATAGGTAAACCACATGCCCTGCTGTTCCCTTTATAAACAGAGGTTAACCTGTGAGTGACTGCTCTGCACTGGCTGGCAAGCATCAGCTTTGTCTATTCTTATACACACACACTCACTCAATGCTAAGGGTCTAATGAAAGCAAGAGCAATGCTCAGCTGGTTCTACTTGTATGACGTTATTACACCAGTCGTATTTCTTGCCCTGTGCATTGAATGTACATGTGAGTTTTCAGTCCAACACTTCAGGGTCAGCAGTATCGTGTGTGTGTCAGTAAATATCTGTGTCAGCATCCATACGATGTGTGTGTGTGTGTGTGTGTGTGTGTGTGTGTGTGTGTGTGTGTGTCATATGAGCTCCTGTAGTGATATGGGGGTGGGTAGGAGTTAGGGCTGTAATAATTAGTCGACTTTGATTAATTATAAAAAAAAAAAAAAGTTGACATGGATTTTTATAATTGGTGTTGTCATTTACTTAATGAAAAAATAGTTAAATGACACCACATAATGTTAATGTGTGCCAATTCTGACAGAATTCAGTGTACTCTAAACAAACGAGAGCAGTGTGGCTTCTGTTGTTCAGTTCCACCGAAGTTGGCCCGAATTACCATGGCAACAGACCACAGTGACTGAAAAACCGGTCATTCATTCATGGCTTTAAAAAAACAATAAAAAACAATAATTTTTTATTTATTTCATGGAAATCCTAGCAAAACACAAGTATTCCCACACGTGAACATAACTTGTAAACATGTAGAGTGATGTAATATTCTTCTACATTAAGATCAAATTTTATAGATGACACTGATGCAGGAACGTGGCTGCTGAGCTGCGCTGGCTGAACAAGCGTTGAGTGTGGCACGGGGCTGTGTAACACTGAGGCAGCCTATATTCATATGAATCACATTTCAACCACCATTATAAGATGACATCATAAAACTGTGTTCATCTTTGTTAGTTCTGAAAGTCCATGCTACCCTTAATCTACACTTGCTCTGGCAACCTGTGGGGCCTTGCCCTACTGACCTACACCTCTTCCTCCTTTTATTGGAGTGTTTGGTCAGAAGACCAAAAAATTCTGCCAATAGTGAGTTGGTTTCAAAACATAATATCACTGCAGCCATCTGTAACCATTTGGATTTTAAACTGAACGATGAAAGAGCCATTAACATACCCATTAACATACCCTTTTTCTTTAAGAAAATCCCTGTCAAATACAGGAATACGTAACATCTGCGACAGCTCTTAAAACACAATCACCCCCACGGCTTCTCCCAGTTAGTACTGTGTAGGAGTGTAACAATTCTCCAAATTCACGGTTCAATTATGACCTGATTTCTGAGCCACAGTTTGGTTCATACCTCTTTTTTTTGTTATTTGGTGGGGGTGAATAAGAAAAAACAAGGAAAAAAATCTGGGTTTTATTAAATCAGCAACATTTTGGAACACAAAAGAGCAGAACACTGTATACAGCTTGTATACAGCTTACCCTAACGTTAAATAGAATAATGGTTTCATGATGTGTTGTAGTGTTAATTGAACAATGAAAAATGAGTTTTGTTAAATTAGTAACATAATAAAAGCTCAACAGGCTGCACCGGCATCAGGTTGGGGGTGGTGGGGGCTTGATGGGAAGGGTAGTATCCGAAACCGTGATACGAGACCGTGGACGTTTGTAACGTGTTTTCAGTCTCAGTTTCGCAATTGTTATGCCTCTCATACTGTGTCATCCTCAGGAGAGGCACATCAGGTCACTATTAGAAGCATTTACCAAAGCAAGTAAGTACAGTAAGAACAAAGTCGAAAACCTTAGTCATTTTGGCATAGAGAGCAATATTAACATCTGTCTTTATATTGTTCATTTCTGGTTTAACCGTTTCGCCCAATAAAAGTATTTCAGATTTACTAAGTTGTTAAATGTGATTCTTATTAAAAGTGAAGGGACATCCAGAATAATAGTTATTGTTAATCTACAAAAAAGGATACTTAAGCATCCAAAATGGTTTTATATTTAAAAAATACATTAATACACTGTACTGTGATATATATCGAAACTGTCAGTAATCTTAATTATACCAAGATCGTCCATATACCCATATATACCCATATCTTCCACTAATATAAACACATGCAAATAAAAATTATTATTCTGTTTGTTTGTTTATTTAGTTTTGTTTTCGTAGTTATGTGAAGTTAAATTAATCTACCCTGTTCTTTAGTGTTCTTCTCTTTAGTGTTCCAAATTGTTGATAATGAAACCCAGATTTTTTTTCCCCCTTTTTTTTCATATTCACCCCCCACCCCACCTCCCCATCAAACAAAAAAAAAACCCCAAATGAACCAAACTGTGGCTCAAAATCAAGATCTGAACCGAACTACAGATTTGGAGAATCGTTACACCCCTACTTACAAAACTAAAAAATATACTGTCCTAAATTTACAAGCATTCCACTTGTTCATGCCAGTCATGAACAAAGTAGTGTTTAATACTGAAACCTTTAGTCAGTGATGCATGAACTGTCTCTCAGGCAGAAATGCCCCTCTCAGAATCATATAAATTGTGACAAAAAATGAGAAACAGATAAATGATTAAATATATGCTAAACAGGAATGACGATACGTTGAAAAGTAAAAAGAGCCTGTAAATAATAAATGTAGTCATCCAAAAAGAGACATTAGTAAATAATTGAAATCTTTCTTTTTTATTTCTTGCATTCAGTCACACTTTTGATTCTGCAACAGTTTCAGCTGAGAAATAAGTTTAACGTGAACAAAAGGCTAGTCAATAGATTAAGTAATCATTAGTTGCAGCCCTTGTAGAAGAATGTCTTCGTACATGATTGTTCCGTTGATGAGGCCTTGCTGGTTCTGTGACATGTTTACATTTTCATGGCTTTGCGTTCTTGGAGTGGATTGTTTTTGCTGTATGGGATGTGACTGCACTAGTTAAAGTCTTCAGTCATGTTCTGTATATGAGGATATGATCACCGAGACATGGCTGGGAAAATCACTTTCATGAGATAAATCTCACTGAACTTGCGTGGATATTTAGCCTAATGAATCTGCTTAGTCAGAGAGCGAGAGAGAGAGGGAAAGGGAAAGCAGTGGGAAATGAAGGAGGGAGGGGCAGGGAAAGAAAGATTAATCCTTTTGGCAGACGGTAGACTTTAACAGATAATGCAGGGGACGACGTATGAGAGTCAATGAGCTCACGGAAAACAATATTAAAATCCTCCACCACGCTGAATCAATCTCGTGCACCCTCCACATGTCAATGCGAAAATTGCGTTTGCGTTGACTCGAAGGTGACGGGCTTGTCTTGGCATTGATTTTCCATTAAAGGCAAGCAACACATTATAATATATTGAAGTGGGCAGCTCAGCACTAATGTGCCTTACATTCAAATCATTTGCCTTTCTCTCGTCGGAGAAAAATGAAGCTAGTCTGTATTCATGACTAAATGATAGACAGCACTTCTAATTCGTCAATACGGTGTTGAACTTTTAGCCTGAGTAGTAATGCATCTCATTGGGCACTCATATTTCATGTGACATAAGGAAATAATTAGCTGTGATCTAGTTTACCCTTGTCCTGAATAATAAAGATGATCTTGCAGATGGCTCATCTGGTCTGGTAAGTCTTTAACAATAAGCTTGTGCTGTGGTGTCACAAAACAACCACGTCTTTAAGATGCACAAAAGTAATTATATTTGGCTCTCAATTTTCTTAATATAATTTTTTTTTAATGTGTAACATTAGTCCATGTCCTGAATCAGCCCTGATTTGTTATCTGGTCTCAGGACATTCTGTAGCAGGGCGAGAACTTTATTTCTTACCAGTGGTTGTGCTTGATAACTAAAGCCATGCAGAACCCTTCCAAGCATGGACTGCCTTCCTTCACAAAACATGAACAGCGCAGATCAGTTTAACAAAAAAAAGGACAATGCTTAGCTACACTAATAGTAGATTTAGAGCTACTTCACATGAAATCTTTAGCTGCTTTATTATTTTAGTAAATGTTGTAATTTAGGGTGCCTTTAGATTTGACAGGTATGGTTCAATTAAAACAAATCTCGTTAGTCTGTTGGTGTGATTCATCACAGCAAATGAGAATGTTGCCATCCGAACTCTGGTGCGCACCACATGAGCAGACCAAGACCCCCTGAGCAGGTCGAACTCCGGTGTGGTTTGTTCAAAGCTTGAATGCAGTACAGACCAAATATGTCTAAACGGACAAAGAATAGAAAGAATGATCATGTCTTCTCTGGGTGTTTTTTTATTATAATGTTCTGGTGCTGTTTTGACACATACATGTGTTTTATTATCTCTTCGTAAGCTCTGAATCGGTAATTATAGAATGGATAGTTTCGGTTTTAAAACGAGACTGAGGCATGTGTGAGGTCATTATAAAATACTCAGGATACGCATTTGACTGCATGCATAAATTAAATTATGTATTAGTAAATTATGTATTAAGGCGTCAGGGTTTCTCCGTTTTGAAAAAGCAGTAGGCCACTCAAGGCTGTTAGAGGGATTTTACCCTGCTTTGCAACATGTAAACCATGGTAATGCAAGGAGGCTTATTGCTCTAATGTCACAAGACAGATAAAACAAGACATAAAACCAGCAAGCCCAGATAGAACAGAGAACAGCATGATTCAGAAGGTTTGGATGTAATTACAGTTATTGTAAAAATCTGCCCAGTTTGCTATGACCTTTCACTTATATGACTTCTTTGTTTACATCTTTTGGTTCGATGTTAAATATGTTGGTGTGATCGCAAAGCAAACCAGAACTAAAATGCAACAGTGTGTCACTGCGTCTGTTTTTGCCTGGACCAAAGGAAACGAACTACAAGTATGAAGGCACCCTTATAAGCTGAAACATACGCTGTTTTATTAAACCTAGAGCAGAAACGACC